CCCATTGAGACAATTGCGTTAACTGAAACTCCAAGTTCGAAGTGTGTGTGTGTGAAGATGTTGACCTTGTCCAATCTGGCAACCCTTTCAGCACTTCAGAGTCGCACTGTCTGGTTGCTAACTGCAACCCACCCCACCCCATCCCCCCCACCCCACCCCATCCTTCATCCTTAAACCCTCCCCATCTGTGTCTGTGTGTGTGTTCTAAAGTGAACCAAAAAATCAGGTGCGTTGTGTTCCAAAGTGATCTCGCTTTTTGCTAACCCTTCCATGTTTTTGGGTGTTTTGTGTTCCAAAGTGACCCATGTTTTGTGTTCCAAAGCGAACTAAAACCATGTGTTCCAAAGTGAACTAAAACTTGTGTTCTGAAGTCACCCCGCTTCCAGCACAAGAGGTGCGTCGTGTCGTTGCATTGCATAAGGTGGAGCTGAAGTTTGATCGGAACAACAAAACACAGTTTCCATCTTGACTCTCCATATCTTTTGCATCAAGAGTCCTCAGACCAAAGTGACATCTTGGGCCAAAAAGGTCGTGTGCGTAGGTGCCATGGCTTTGACATAGAACTCTTCGGCTGTACTAAGCGGTACTTTCAAGGATTTTTGTGGGCACAAGTCTCAGGTTAAGTTGAGAATTTGGGCCGTCTTGAGTTCGGGAACGAAACTTCACAAGCACCTTTCCCTGGTTGCATGCCCGCTGAACAAAGTAGCTGAATCATCTACTCATCCCGTTTTTCTTCACTGCTCTACTGCACAGAGTTGCAACTGTTGCCAGATCCAGCGAGAGCTTCAGCGCCTTCAGCAAAAGAAGGAGACCCCATGAGACGTCGCAGCATCTCTGTTTCGTGCCTAGGACCATTCGCCCTTCCAATTCCTTTCTTTTTTCTGCCTTAGTTTTGTGCAGACTTTTTTAAAAAAGTAATATAAATGTACGTTCATGAACAACTCCAGTTGAGTGCCAACTCTGGCAGGACAAGCTTCAGTCCGACGAAGAAGGCCTGTGTTGCTGGGTGTGCTTCGCCGTGTTCTTGCGCTGCACCTCGTGTCCCCTCTTTTGCTGCTAGTGACACGTGCGGGAAGCACAAATAGGCCAGTAGGCCTGTAGGCTCCATTCTTGATTTGCCGAAGCGGGTTTCAAGGGTACAGCGAGCAAAGCAGGCAACTTGGCACTTTCGTTTTAACATGTTTTAACCGTCAGGCTACAACTCTGAAGAGGAAGAAGAAGATGAGCTTGCACACCTCAGTGAGAAGCTGTCGAAGGTGCCGGAGTGAACTTTAGCAGACAGAAGCTACCACTTCCTGTATATGCCGCATCAGATTATCTTGACTCGCCGGACTTCCAATGAATCTTGAAGAAGCTACTTGGGTATATGCCACTCTCTCAGCACAACAGGCCAATCTCCCGGAAGATGCCAGCCGCATTGCAAAGAAAGAGCTAAAGCCTGGGGCTAAGCTTGGAAGTTTGAAAAGACAGGTGAATATGACAGATTCCGAGTTTTTGGACACCCCAGCTTATGTTTAGACATGTTCCCTCCCCAACTCCGCTCTGAGAGCAAGGCGGCTGAAGAGCTTGCAAGCACATCATCCAGAGTACACCTCCACTCACAGTGAGGGCCTCACGAGACCAGCAAGACCGGCTCCGGGCAGGTCTCGACATGGGTTTGGTCGCAGACGTTGACGGTGGTGCATTCGGCTTTCATCTGCTCAGCGCCCCTTTCTGAAGCACTGACAACATCTTGGAATCCACATGAATCCACCCAAATTTATTAGCTTTAAAGTCAAAAGGAGGCAACCGCAGCCATTTCCGGTACCTTGTCACAGCCAAAATCGCTTGGAAGTACGAGGCATCAAATCTCTCAACCTTGTGAACGCGTCGAGAATAACATAAAATAGTTATTTATGCATACTTAAATATATACCTTATGAATATTTTGTACCCAGCATTGTTCCAAGGCTATCTTGAGCTTCTTGCCAGTTTGCCTTGGAAGAACCAGACGAAGGCGACCACTGGGCAATGATTCCAAAGGGGAGCAACTGAGATAGAGTGGTGGGTCAAGATCCTTCAGGGTTCCACCTTCAGCAGTTAGAGTTTTGTGGTTTTGTGGTCGAAGGATCCATCTGTCGGGATATGCCTGCGGAGGAGTCCTTCGACCTGCAAGAGGCTCGACGCATGCTGGATGAAGATCATCGGGGTCTGGAGAAAGCCTCTTGGCTCTTAATCTGGACAGTTTCAGGTCAGCAACCGCTTGGTCAAAGACATGATTACGAAGGACAACGTGCTTGTGCTATCTTGTGCTAGCGATTCATAAAGACCTTCCTAGGTCAAAGTGCGGATCCTGGAGTTCTTGGCAGTGCAGAAGCTGCGAGGCATGTGTTCCATGGTGTTGCTTTGGCCTGTGCGACATGTAAAGCATACTTCTCAGAAGGAGCTTCATAAGCTGGTTTCAAGAGAAGCTATGAATCTACGAATCGAAGCTTCTTTAGAATGCGACAGAGAGGTGCATGGCAGTTCCATCAACCTTATTGCTTCTCAGCGATTGCAAGGCAATAACTTGTAGTTTAACTGGGCCCGGCCAGACTTGCATCGGAACTTGAGACTAGGAGCAAGGTTCGCTACTAGGGTGCTCTTTTGACCTCTTTCTGCTCAAGAATCGACCGGATGCAACGATGGGTCAGGTCAAAGCAACTTTAGTAACTTTGCGTCCCATGCAAACGGCATCAAACGGCCAATGGCCAATCTACAGGGGCACACTGGGATTGTAAGTAGCTTGCCAGTTTGATCCGAAGAAAGACATAGACATCTCACATTGGAGCCATGTGGACTTGCAGATGAACATAGAGCAAATGCCCCCATTGCTTGGAGGTCCAATGAACACTGAAAAAGCATCGGTGGGAGATGTCCGCTTTTGTTCGCCGCGACCCGTTTTTTGGGCCCCTGGGCCTGAGGCGGCCTGGGCCCTTTTCTCCTCGAAGATGTTCGAAGCCATGTGAACGGGAGTTTAGACTCAGATGCCATGGCCCGAAAGCGCATGCGCAGCAAGCAGACCAGCGAGGCTTTCTTGTGCAGCTGAATGAGCCATTTGCGTATGTATGAGAGATCCTTTGGTGGACAAAGTGTTCAATGGTTCCCGATTTGCATTTCACCAGGTCTCTTGCCATGATCGTCCTAGTGGTTTGAGCTTTGGCCCCAGGCCAGACTGGTGAGATGCGCCGAAACCCCGAAACCGCTGTTCTGAAGCAGTGTGAGTCGATGAGGGTCTAAGGGCTGTCCTGATTGTCCTGTATCTACGAGATCATTGCCGCATTCGATCACATCTGCGGTTTGAGATCTCCTTAGATCGACTCAGGCAGGATGTGGATGCAGTCGTGAAGGAATTGGAAGCTGCAGGCTTCGGGAGGCTCGCACCATGCCTGTGCTGCGGACAACAGCCAACCTCTTGTAAAGATATCATGCGAAACACGTGCCACTAGGAGCAAGGATGCTACTAAGTTACTAGGGGCTCCTGGCCTCACTACTAGGAGCAAGGTTCGCTACTAGGAACAAAGGGCCTCGCTTAGGAGCAAGGATGCTACTAGGGGCTCCACTTCTAACTTTTCGCTGATCACCCACTCCCACAACAGTCTTTCGCACGATTCCATCACAGACTCGTGGAGCAAGTGAATGTTCTCACCACTTTCTCGACTTCCCATCTCCCGCAGGGAGAGGCCAGTGATGGACATGGGCTGTGCCTACCATGACTTCTCCAAGGGCCTCCTGCGCGTGGATCTGGACCTTCAAAGCTTCCCTGCAGTGTGTGGATCTCAGGCATGCCAGGCAACAGAAGGCGACCACGTGCAAACATGGCGCTTACGGTGGAACACAAAAAGAACGTCAGGGACATTGGAGAGAAGCCCTTCACAAAGGTACAAAAATGCAACAAACTTAAATTGTAAATTAAACGACCAAGCAAACTTTAGATAATCCATAAAGGCAACTTGAGTAGAAAGGCACATCCAAACGAAAGAGGAAGAAGGTAGGCAAAATCCGGAACAAAGGCGAAAAGCCGAGAAAGGTGGATCAAAGATGAAAATATGTTGACCGACTATCTTTGAACACCTTTTTTGACGCTCTTGAACATTTTTCCCCTTTATTGTTTGCTTTTTGCAATTGCCGGTCATTGATGTCATTTGTTTACCGTACTTCCACCAAAGCCTCTGCCCCAGGTTGCCAATTAGTGAAAGAACACGGCTCATCTTTTTTTTTCTCTCTCTCTCTATATATATACTATATATATATATTATATAAGTCACCAAGGACATATCTGAGGTTCAAATAACATGCTCTTTGGTTGACAGGAGGAAGGGTGTACTTCAACCGCCCGTGTTCCCTTGTTGAAGACGCTTGCAGGATTGATCTATTGGACCATTTGGGATTTTGTTCTTTTGCGCACTAACCCCCCGAGGGCCCCTATCGGCCTATCACCTCAACCTTTCCGCTCCTTGGAGCATCTCTCTAAATAGACTCTCTCTCTCTCTCTATATATATATCACGAAAGCCAGCGGATAGGCAAGGATTGAGGTAGCTGAGCGAACGAAGTGAGTTAAAGGGGGTGTGGGGTGGTCGCGAGGTGGCCAATTTCGGAGAGGTGAACCCAGAGCCTGGTGGGGGAGAGCGAAAAAAAGAGGTGGGCCACTTGGTAGTGAAAAATGAGTAGTTTGAGGGTGTTGTGGTGCCGGTGATGTAATTGACGGCCAGTAGTGCATCATTAGCATCACGAGGGTCTCAGGAGGCAATGTAAACTGTTTTCTACCAGGGGTGGGAGTTCATGTCAATGATAGGAGAGGACAACGGGACGCGAAAAGTGGTTGGAACTCCTCCAGAAAGGGAGATGTGCGCCTCTCATCGCCAGTGAGATAGTGTTCGGCCAGGGGTGAAAGGGAGGTGTGTGTGTGTGTGTGTCTCTTAAGACATTGTGTGATCTGTGAGGAGCCAGAATGCTGTGGGGAAGGGAGGACACGCATAGCGTAGGCGTAGGAGGACGTGGTAGGAAAAGAGGGCATGAAATAAATGTTAGAGTTGCTTGGGGGTGCCATTTTTTAAGGGTGAGGACGCCCGTCAACTATGCGCAAAAGGGTGCGAGTTCATGTAATGCTGTGGTCCGTTGAGGGCAGGAAAGAGAACAAAATGCAGCGGGCAAGCTTTGAATTGCTTGGGGGTGCCCCTTTTAACGGTGAACAGGCCTAGTTGCCGGAATCAAACGGGCACCCCATACCACATGGGGTGGGAGTTCATGTGGACGAGACAGGCATAGCGGAGGAGGACGTGACCCATTCATTGAGAACAAGGAGGGAACAGAATGCAGCGGGCAAGCTTTGAGTTGCTTGGGGGTGCCGTGCCCTTTTTTTATGGTGAAGAGGCCTGGTGACCAGACGCAAAAGGGCACCCCATATGGAGTGGGAATTCATGTACAAAATGGGCATAGCGGGGGAGGAGGTGATAGATAGGGCTCTCGCACTCACCCCCCATAACCATATTGATATCTTTTGCGGTGACTGGCTTTCGTCCACTCCCTTCTCAGGAATATCATATTATATCTACACCATTCTACACATTTATGTTTGCTTCAAGATACTCATGACAGGCTGAGCCCAGTCAGTTGATCTAGTGCACAGCATACAGTTGCCATGGATATTTTCTGACCAACGCCATCTCTTGAACACATCGCACGAAATGTTTCTTTGAGGGCTCGTCCTTAGGGTTCCTTTTGCTGTTTCGGAGGGCACAGACTTCCTCGCGGCCCTAGGTTAGCACTGATTGAGGGATCCATGGAGAGCATGAGCTGTCGCCATCGTGGTGTGCGAGGTGAGAGAAGTATCCATGCAATTCCATGCATTCATGCTGTTCCTCTTCCCCTTTGCACCCAGCATTTACTGAGGGTACTGGATGTAGATTCTTGTATCTTTGTTGCTGGACTGCACAGCTTAAGCCGCAAGAGACAGGCTGCTCTGCAGGCCTTAATGTCATAGCTCGGCACTATGAGGGACCTTCTGAAGAGGAGATCTTGCATGACCCTCTCCTGGTGATGACGCTTTTGTGGCAATTCGATTGAGCAAGCCAATCACTAAGAGACATGGTATTGTGCTGATTTGTTTGCCAGACTTTGCTGAACATATCTCACAATAGGCAATAGGATACAATAGGGACTGTTGTCGGACTATTTAGCTACTACAGAAAAACATGTGCTTTGTATGCACAGGACAATTGAGAGTTCCACCTAGACTTAGTAGTTGGAGGATCGCCTCTCTTTCCATGCAGACAACTTCATTGTTGGAGAATGGGTGCGCCTTGCCAAGAAACAGCTGGCGTTGATAAGGCATTGCACAAGGCCACAGAAAGCGAAGGCTTCGAAGGCCTGGCAAAACATGGATCACCGATCTTCTTGACAAGCCCGGTAGACTTAGCAGCCCTGGTGTTTTGTTAAATGGCAGGACGATGCATTGCAGCCCAGGCAATGAAGCCTTTGCAGTCTCTACATGCAAGGTAACTAGTTGTTGGGCGGTCAATAGTGTGAACGTCCAACACTACTTGCACGATGAATGGCATGCCACCAGTAGAATGGGCCACGGGGTGATCAAAAGCTAATGTCCATCTCTCAAGATGGTTGTCAGGGCCTAAACCCCCACACACACACACACACACACACACACACACAGCAACGCGTATTTTTGCACATATTTTCTTTCGTACCTTGATGCCTGTTTGTTGGTCAGAAGTTTGTCGTGCCTAGGTTTGGATGCATCCTCAGACAGGAGATGAGCCCTAAGAGCAGATACATGGGAGGTCAAAGATGATTGCTCGGGGCCACACTGTAATTTGACTGCCAAGATCCAGCTTGCATGTTCCTGCATACAATCCCAGAGAACGAGCTAGTCACACCCGTCCTCGATGTTTTTGACATAGAAAGATCTTGCACAATCAGCAGGTTGGGCTCTATGTTTTGTTTGATTCCTTTTGCACAAATGTCTTTGGAAAGGAGGGAGACAACCCACTCCTAGCGCTTCATTTTCGTGAGCGTGACGGACCAGGCTATGTTTGCATGAAGGAGACTAGCTCCGCCAAAACACGGAAGTGACTACTCTGGAGTTTCCCAATTTTATCACCAAAATCACTGTAGCTCAGCTACTACTTTTCCACGCGTTTTGCTCCTTTAGCAGTTTTATTGCTTCAATTAAAACCACTCAGACGTCCTCAAGCTCAAAGCAACCTGACTGGCCTCCCAGCTGAGCTTAATTTTTCCAAAAAACATAGAATATATCATATATCTACTAGACTATGTAACTATATAATCATCAAATCCACAAAGAGAACGATTCGTTGGACCAACCAACTACACAACCAACCAGAAATTAACCCCAATCAAACCACGTACTGACCTACTATGAGCAATACTCAAAGCGACCAGTTCAGCCCCAGGAGAAGCCTGGACATTTGTATTTGCAGACTGGAGAGGTGGCTTTGCTGGGTGTACTACTAGGATTTGGATGTGGTAAAGCGAAGTCTGCCGTCCTTTATGTCCCTCAGCAGGCCACAGTCCTGGTTTTTCTTGGTTTCTTTTTTGGGAGCCGTAGGACCCGGCCCCCTCAAACAGAAAAGGCAAAGGGTTTCAAGATCTTTCAAGGGTACAAGAATCAGTACAAGACTCCATCGAGCTTCCAAACACAGGAGTATTTGGGCTCTCAACCTTCTCAAAATAATAAGAATACAGTATACAAATGAGAACGTGTTGTAGACCTCAATAAAAAACAAAATTATTCCGGCCTTTGAGCATTAATGGCGATGATTCCCCACCTTTTTGGGGGGATTGTTTACAGCTTGTCTTCCTCCGAGCTTGGCAGGCTCGCCACCATTGGACCCACGGCATACCTGCGGGTGGAGGAGGAGCCGAGAGGAACATTTAGGAGGGTTCTGTGTGAAAGGGAAAGGCTGACTGTTGTCAGGTTGAAGGTTTCACAGTTGACTGACGACAACTCTTCCACCAGTAGTGTGAGTGTATCTAGATCGAGAGAACGAATCCTCAGGATTGCGTCAGCCGGGATGCACAGAGTGTCCTGAGGCACTGATAATTACAAAAATGGACTTTGCCCTCGCCTAGCAAGGATGGTCACCGCTTGTTTTTGCATTTATGTATGCAGAGTGCATGTGTTGTTGTCAGCAATGTGCACAACTGTTTACGTTTGTGTAATATCATCTATATATTAGAACTGTGCAGCAAGAAGATAGTACACAGTATGACAATGCAACATGATTATCATGTTGCACATGTCGTGATGCAAAGAACACCCGAAAAGCACTCGCATGATTGGCTTGCACTGCTTGCACTCACATGACTTGTTCTAGGAGAGGTCATGTTTGTATTCCATCTTAGTCTTAGTACATTTTGGATGAGTAATGATAGAGTATATCTTAGTATTATATATGTAGACCTCATGGAATGAGGCTTTTGAGGGCGTTGCCCTTGCGCGTCCAAGGTCACTGACATGGCGATGGCTTCGGCCAAGCTTCTTGAGGCTTGCTGACTGGAATAGGAGCCCCTTTCAGCCTCAAAGGAAGAACCTTAGGCTCTTAAAGGAGACGGAAGACTTAAAGAACCGCCAAATGGACCTGGTAATTCTCCGCCAAATCGCAAGGTCTCAAGACTGGAAATTATTCTTGCTTCCACTTGAGCGGTCGAATCCTTGCTAAGCTGCTTACGTGAACAATCGTGTGTTGAACCACAAGGAGCACCAACGCAAGTCTTTTTTCCTGTCACGGTTTTGGAGCACGGCCTGCAAGTATTCCTCACATGGTCATCAAAGAGCAATATATAAGTTGTGTTGACAGAAGCTACCAGTACAATCCAAAATCGCGAACATGGGTGTGCTAAAGTGCGCAAAGCCTTCAGGTGGTGTGAGCTTGAGCACAGCCTGAATCGAAGAGAGCAAGTGAGCTGCCACCATTCTAGTGATTTTGAGGCAGCGCTTGTAAATGAGGACCATCCTGTTTCACAGGTATGCTGGCTCCAGCGCTTCATTTGTGTGGGCCATTCGGCGGGAATCGATCAGGAGGCCGAAGACGGAGTGACCATACTGACGGAGTTGGCTGAAAGTGACACTGCGTGACCGGCAGTGAACATTTTGAGGTGCTCGAGCAGTTTCTGACCCGATGGATGCCAGTGTGCACTGTCCTCAGCAACCGCCCGACGAACAGGCCCTGGTAAAGGGTTGATTGAATGTTCTAGTAACGGTTGGAGGCCATCGCGAAAAAGAAGGTTACAGTAGACATTCTTTGGATCCCAACAGATGTTGTGACTGCCCAGAGGTCTTTGTGTGGGACTTGGCTCCGAGGTTCTGTATTGAGAGGTGACCCGCTGCCCGTTCCCAAGACCACTAAAACCAAGGCCAGCGGGATGGCAACAAGAGCCCGTTGTGCTTGGATATAAGAGTTCCCAATCTTTGCCGCGGTGCAGCAATCCTGCAAATGTGTGTTTCTGGAACTGAGACAGGCTTGCGTAGTCCGGTCCTGAAGAGCTTTGGTATGCTAGGGACTCCTGGCATTACTAGGAGCAAGGACGCTACTAGGAGTTCCTGGCATCGCAACTAGGAACAAGAAGCTACTAGGGGCTCCTGGCATCGCTACTAGGGGGCTCCTGGCATTGCGATGCTGGCCCGTATTGGTATGGTTTTGTTTTGGCCTGGCATCATTCTCCAGCCTGTTTGATGCAGCTCGCAGGTTCGCCTGCCAGAGCTGCTGATGCAGCGCCTGGAAAGGAGAACGAACGATAGAGCGTTGAGCACTGTTTTTGCGCCCTTGGTTGTCCAGCAGCCTCATTTTGGTGCTCCCTGAGGTACTACTTGTGCCCCTTCTCCAGCATGAAATACATTGTCACATTGTACTGCACTTTGAGTCGAGCCAGTGCAAGCATGAGGATGAAGTGAAGAATGTGAACTCGATGTCCTAGGAAGCTGTTTCTGCTCAGTCCAGCATGCCTTCAAGTATGGCTCCGCCCGGACGTGACCCAGGCAAGCGCCACAGGGATCTTTTAATATCTTTGTAGTCAAATCAAATCATTGATGCGAACTGTGTTGCCCAAACAAAGATCTTTCTGCTTCAAAAGCCTCACAGACTTCAGGTCGATCTGATCGAATTATAATCTTTCAATCATCCCCTCTTCCGGGTGGTTGGATCCACCAACCAGTGCATCTTCCAACCGGTCCAGAACTGAAACCAACCGAAACCACCTGAAAACGCAGCAACTTGGTTTTGAGCATGACAAGCTTGGTGCATCATCGAATGCAAGCTTGGCGCAGGCAAACTTGGGGACAGAAATGACCCAGCGGATCCACCCAAGGCAGAGCTGGAGAGCTGGCAGAGGAAGACGCATCCTTTTTCGGATTTGTTGTGACAAGATGCTAGTGCAAGCCCACTGATATTTGCAGCCGGCTGACTGACACACCAAATTGTTTGTTTTATGACTTTCCGCTCATGATCCCAAGCATCACAGGGCCCGCAGAATGCAGTGGCAGAGGCAGTTCTGTACCCAAAGCAGCCCCTTGGAGAGAGTGAGATGCCCTGCAGTAGAAGCAGCTTCGGAAAGAAGGCCTTTGCGGCCTTTACATTAGAAGACGTCAACATGTTTTGTCGGCATCATTTGGGCGGAGCCTTGGGTCCTTGAGATTCATCGTTTAGAATTCCCTCAGTGCATTCTTCATCAAAATTAACAGACAGCTTTGCCACCCATTCTGCCCATCCTTGTTTGTGCTGGAGCTTTCTTCAAGACGTCTCAGACTTTGTTTGACATTTAGGCAAATGACGATTGCTCAGCTGGAAAATGCCTTGGCGGAGCAGCAAAGAGAGATGTTGCATGGCTGAGGACAAGAAAGCACTTTTTTTTGCTAGATGGCACTTTCCATTTAAGACATGGCACACTCCAGTTTCTTGTGTTCCAAACTCAGGCACATGCTTGTGGCCCATCACTACGAGACTGCTCGGCAGTCACTTGACTGAAGATCGACCTCTGAAATGCATAATATGCTTCAGTTTGACACATGCCAAGATTCCAGTTGACATGTTCCGGGTGCATACTCCAATAAAATGTATTTTTTCAAAGGCACTGGTTGGACATGGGCCACATGGAGCCTCAGTGGTTGCTCATACCCACATGTATTAGAAAGATGCTGCGTTTGGATGCATTTGGAGGTTTATATAACCTACTTTTAAAATATTTCAACAGTATGATTGATTCTCACAAATCAAGTATGGATTAATACTCGACGCGTCGATCCTGCTGATCGTGGCAGCCTCGCGCTTGACAGGATGCTGGTGTCCAGAGACCAGCAACACATCTGCATTTGGCATAGTTAGCATGATAAATGTTTCCACCAGAGAAGGGAGTCAGCGAACATAGACGGTGTCATCTAAGAGCGCAACATTCAGACAGAGTGTGCCCAAGCCTGGGAGACTTTCTCCACGAAAATAGACACTGTATGATACTCTGATTGCTTTGTCAAGCCTTGCATGAGGTAATCAAACGAGCAGCATTCTTGGCCTCTCAGATTCCTTCTGACACTTAGGATGGCGACTGCGTGCCAAATTGAGAATCAGGAGTTGCGTGCGCAGATTGGGGAGCTGAGGAAGCAAACCTCCCTTCCGGCTATTTGGCTCAATTCTTGAAAGCCGGAGGGTTCGCGCCATTTTCTATCCTGGTAGACCGTGAAGAGGCTTCAGTACGCAGCTAATGTAGTAAGGGGATGCAACGGGTAAGTAGTAGCAGAAGAGCTTCAAGGAAGCTCTCCCTGCCTGAGGGCTTCCCTGAACCCCTGGCATGATTGAATTGATTTGAGCACTTAACTTATCCTTCCGTTCTTATTGAAAGAGGACTTTGGTTTATTTTCTTGGTTTTGTGCCCAAGCAGATTTGTAAATAAGTACTTTGGCATTCGGACATGCATTCCTGACGATGGGAACATGTTACAAAGAGAACGGCAGCTGGATGTCCGAAACATTTGAAGCTACAAGACACTCCGCATGTCTTTAACCAAGGCCAAGCGCCAACGAGACCAAGCCTTACTTGCGCGGCAGCACATGCAGGCGAATAAGGTGCTGCTCAAACGCTACTTGGACATTCACTGAGGGTGTGAGAATGCATGAGAGCTTAATCCGATAACTGCTTTTGGTACCTTTGAGATGTGTCTTAGCATCATTTTGTTTCCAAAAAAATATATATATATACTGTATATATATAATATACATCTAATTTTCGTGGGAGCACTCTGGGCCGCAAAGCAATCCTATCCCAGTCTATCCAAGGCGACTTGGAGGCCAGGAAAACTGAGGAGGAGAATGCGCAGCTTCGATCCACCTTGGCACAGCTGAAATCGAAGCCACCGAAGGCTACGCAGCTCCTTGCACCTATCATCACCTATCCTATGGGTATGCTTTGATATCTCTGGAGATCCCTGCCAGGTGTGTTCTCTTTTTTCCTACCAGACAAGGGTGTCATGGGTCATGAAGAAATTGAAACACTAGACTAGATCGAACGTTGGACATCTTCCTTTTCCATGAAAAAGAACAACAAAGAGGCCAGGAACGGGGGAGGGGTTTGTTACAGCTTGTCACTGTAAATTAGCAGCATCAGGAACATGCTGCAAAACAAAGTAATAACATTTCTATAGTACCTCGAAACAATTGTAGACCGAACTGGAATCACCGTTGTAACAAAGCAGGATAATCTTATGGTGTTCACCGTTGCTGACATTGTTTTGAGTAGAGACTTTCTCGGGAACACAACGGGTTTATTGGCGACCACTTTACTTTGATATATGATGAATACGGTGTGTTTACTTCTCGCAACCGAGCTCGTCCCAGTGAGCTCAGGTTTTCGACTTCAGATGATGAGATGACCGAGAACCCTGAGTTCGGCGCTCAGTTTTGATTAACTCCTTGCTGTAGTCTCCGACTAAAACCCTTTACTTTACAATCCTTCACAGATAAGATCAATCTATATACATATACATGTTCTGTTTCCTTGCCTCTTTGGAGCACACACTAGCACAGTGCGTTTCCGTCGGATAAGGACACGTTGTTGAACCACGTTGAATCTTGTTGTTTGCAGCACCTTTTGATTCCGCAGCTGTTCCTAGCTTGCTGTGCGCGGCCCTCGAAGTGCCTCAAGGTCACTGCTGTGGCCTTATGGTGCATTGTGGCGCTGCATGACCACAATGTGTGTATTGACTCGCACTGGATTCTGCACATGATGTGGAACGGAGGCAAGTCAGCTGTGCGAAGCGTTGGTCGATAGCGAAGCCAAAGCAGACAGCTTCCAAAGCACTTTTGCCAAGGCCCCATGAAACTCTTCGGCCAATCTTCGGGACATGCAAAGATGGAGCTTGAAGTCGCTGAGGCCATCAAGGAGAAGGAGTTGGTGCCAAGCATCCTAAAGCGACTTGCAACAAGGCGACCGAACCTCCTTGTTTGGGCGATGCAGTTGATAAGAGAAAAGGGGCTCCTGCTGCAGCAGCCCCAATACAGTATGGGAATTAGCTCATGCGGCAGATGCCAACTTTGGCAGGACGCAACAGCCCTTTTCGAACTAATGGTTGAAACTGGAATCTTACCGGATCTCATCAGTCATAGTGCTTTGATCTCGTCATTTGAACGAGCTGGCCAATGGCATCAAGCAGTCCATGTCTTCATGTCCATGTTTGGAAAGGGACTTCTTCCAGATGTGATTGGCTATAGTGCTGTGATTAGTGCATGTGAGAAGTCCAGCAAGTGGACCTGGGCCTTAGAATTCTTTTGCACGATGCGGAATGCTCGGACAACCCCCAACGTTATCACATATAGCGCCATGATTAGTGCTTGTGAAAAGGCCTGCGAATGGCAAAGTGCTTTGCACCTGTTTCAGCACATGTGCCAGGTAAGCCACCTGGCTCCCGATGTTGTGAGCTATAGTGCAGCCATCAGCTCTTGTGAGAAAGCCGGGCAATGGCAGAAGGCCTTTCTACTACTTACGGAGATGCCACTCGCAAGGGTATTGCCAAATACATTCAGCTACAACGCATCAATCAGTGCCTGTGAAAAGGCCTCCCAATGGCAGCTAGCACTGCATTTGTTGCAAACGATGCCGCAGCAAGTGATTTCTCCAGATATCATCGGCTACAGCGCAGCCATCAGTTCCTGTGAAACAGAAGGCCAATGGCAAGTGGCTCTGAATCTTTTTGATTGCTTGCCTCTCACCCCCGATGCTATCTCTTTCAATGCAGCTATAAGCTCCTGCGAGAAGGGCAGCCAATGGCATTTGGCCTTGCATTTTTTGAACCAAATGGCCCGAAAGCAGATCACTCCCCACACAGTCAGCTTCAATGCAGCTCTCGGCTCTTGTCAGAAGATGGGCTGCTGGAAATCTGCTCTCCTCTTGGAAGGGATAATGCAGGGCGGACGCATTGCAGGAAATGTGCTGACGTATTGTGAGCTGATGGTAGCGTGTGTCACAGCTGAGCAGTTTCAACTTGCAACACTTGCTTTGGAACAAGTATCCAAAGCAGCCATGGAAGCAGCAAAAGGGGTAATTGGAGTTACGCAAAACGGTGAAGACATGACACCCTATACAAGGGGGCACATTTATTGATGCCGCACAGAGTATGAAGTAGATTCTTGTTCCCCCATTTCTCTAGGACTGGGTTTTCATTGGGATGCTGGAAAAGATGGCATTAGTAATTCATGTTGGGAGGATTCTCAGTGCTTCAGAGTTGGGCGACGCACCACAGAGT